GAAGATTTATACCTATTGTGGTCCTTATTAAAAATAAAAAATATTCATAATTTAATATACGTTGAAGGTTTCGCTTCATCAGTCACTATTGTTTTATGCCAATTTTTCATACACGGATGTTCTAATGCATATAAAGCTTGGCAAAATGTGGTATGTTCGCACTGACGATGGGAATAGTATCCGCGAAACATGTTTGCTACACGATCAGACGGATTATTATGCCCGCGATCAATAAACGATTAAAGAGGGTTGTTTGTTTTATTAATGCCTCGTAGTGTTTTTGCTTATTCGAAATTTAATATACTTATTCAACAAACTATTCTTCACTATTTTCCTAAAAATAGTAATTATTAGTTAAACAAATTATCATTATTATTATTATTATTATTATTATTATTATTATTATTATACTATTATTACCACTGTTCATGAATGTTAATATTATTACTGTTGTTATTATTATTATTATTATTATTATTATGATAATATTATTATTATATTATTATTACTACTGTTCATGAATGTTAATATTATTACTGTTGTTATTATTATTATTAATGTTATTATTATTATTATTATTATTATTATTATTATTATTATAAGTATTATTATTATCACTATAACTGCATGAATGTATGAGAACATTCCATATAAGTACCTAGACACAATTCTATACTTTAATCGGGGTTAAATAAATAGAATAGGTAATTAATGCTAGTAAGACTAAAGAAGTGGTAGTTTATTTCCGTTTGAAAACTGTGATATGCATCCACTTAGAATAAATCATGAGGGCTCGTGGCTGTTAGTTAATCTCTGGGAATAAATAATATTGATAAAGATTCAGACTATGGAGTCTCCGATAGGAGGAAGTAATTAAAAAAAACCAACTTGCGTGTACCGGTATAACTTAATTTATTCTATTCGATTGTTCTTTCTTACGATTAACTTATACAGCAGTTGTTTTGCTGTCTTAAGTTTATTAATCCTGTATGAAATTGCTAAAAATATAGATAAAGATAGGCTAAAAAAGTTACTTTTAAGACATGCCGGTAAAATACTGCAAGCTGATAAATGTTGATGGGATTTTTTTTTAAAGCGAGGCTTAGGGAAAGTTAAATTATTAATAAGGACAATAAATATAATAATTTAATGTTATTTTGATTGTGGCTACTTTTTTTTCAGTTGTAGAATATTTAAATTATATTCCTACTGAATATTTGAACACCGTTACAAATATGTATCTACTTGTTACGGCCTATCTATAGTACATATTGCGTGAATATTCTACAATGACTTGTAGAATATTGACTACAATGTTTTTTTTAATCTATACCATGGTATAAAAATACAAAAGTGACTGAAAGTGAAATAGAGATACAAGAAAACGGCTATTAAAATGATGAAGTGAATAAACGGATTAGGGACGACTCAATTAATCCTTATGTAAGAATTAGTTTCTATTGGGGTTCCCTTAAAATGTTTTCAAGATATTTAATATTGATTGACATAGAATCTATAAATAATAATAATAATAATATTATTATTATTATTATTATTATTATTATTATTATTATTAAAACCTTATTCCTACATGTTTATATATGTATATATATATATATATATTACATAATATTTTATATAATATAATATATAAAATAATTCTATTAAAATCATGTTAATATTTCTAAAAAATCAATAAACCTTTTCATATATTGTCAGTCAACCATTTTTAGTAGTTAATTGATAATGTTGTTTATATTTTAATATATTTTTAATAATGATTCTTTTTTATTTCTCTATATTATCGCGTAATAACGTTCCGCTATATTACATTAAAAAAAATCATAATATCATAGAAAATATTATTCATAAATACAGCATTTTTTATATTTTATTTAAGTTTGTTGGATACTTTTAACAGTTTTCTGAATAAGAGAGTTCTAACATAAATTTCAAAAAAGAAAAGAATTTTTTTGTTATTTCATTAAAATTTAACAACAGTAGCCTTTTATAAAGAACACATGAAAGAAGCGGTTAATATACACAAGTTCAGTTTGTTTAGTCTGCAACATAGCTAAATATTCATCTTTATTATTAAAGAATAAACCGGTATAATTTAAATAAATATTGTAATTATTGTTATTATTATTATTATCATCATCACCACCATCATCATCATCATCATCATCAACATCATCACTATTATCATTATTAATATTATTATTATTATTATTATTATTATTACTATTATTATTATTATTATTATTATTATCATCATCATCATCATCATCATCATCATCATCTGATAGTTTCCATCTAAATAAACATGATCGTATGGTAACTATGTTGTGTATTGTTACCGATAGATTGTTCATTAGTACGGTATGGTAATTTTTACAGGCAGTTAATCACCACCAAATTATTTGTATTGATAAAGTTGCGTACTTCTTTTTTTTAATTTATTTATAGTATAGACTAAGTTTGTAAATATCACTCGTGATTTGTTTATTAATTACAGTAACGTATCATGATTTTGTTTTTAACTTGGTCATACTCTGTAAGTCACATGTCTTCCTGAATTTGCTGTAGCATAGTTGTTGATTTTACTGTATTTTGGATGCACCACTCACGAACGAGAGTGTGTCACTCATTACCATCAATCAATCAATCAATCCGAATCAACAAGGGTCCATACCCACGGCAGAATGAAATGTTGGTGGCGCTATGGCGTGGCATTAATAAAAAGGTACGTAATGATATTACTGTACTTTAAAATGTTAATATATAATATATAGGTCTATATACACATCATGTTTCTAATATTAAGCACTGTATTGTTAATTATATGACATTGGCACAGTAATATAAGGCCTAGTGCATCTATGAATAATGCTTAAAATCAATACTCCAGACGTAGTTGTGTTGTTGGTGATACCAATTTGTGAATGCATTTCGGAAAGCACTAAATAATGATAAATAATGAATGTATATTACCAACAGCAGCCATGATAATATTGTTCAATATAATAACCAAGCATTTATAGTGTGTGTATATATATATATATATATATATATATATATATATATATATATATACACTATAAATATATATTTATAAATTATTTTCACTTACATCAATTATATATTATATTAATTGGCAACATAAATTTCATTGTTATTGTTATTATTATTATCATTATTATTATTATAACAAAGAAACTTTATTCATCATATCATATCATCATACCATTTATTTTGCTTTTACATATAAAATACCAATTGAAATTTAAACTATTTTTATTTATATATTGTATCAAAATTCGGCCTCTATTGCTTAATTATTTTTTTTTATTCATTCCACAATAATCCAACGGCGACATAATATGTTACCCATAACAGGTTATGGCATAAAGTTTTACATAATATAATAACTTCTTAATCTAAAAAATAGGGTTATTATTAATAAAGGAATAACAATAAACTCCAAAGAACAACAAATAACAGTTACCCCCCCCCCCCAAAAATAATAAAATAAATATAATAATAATAATAAATAAATAAAAAATAAAACAATAAACTAAGTGCATGGATTTGAACTGGAAATGGCATTGTACAACTTAGAAAGACGACAAATAAACCAATTTTGTTATATTATGAACTCTTAATTAGTATTTATATGCCTATTTATAGCAACGTACACATTTTTTTATTCACTTCACCAAAATCCAACGGCGACATAATATGTCTCCCATAACAGGTTATGACATAAAGTTTTACATAATATAATAACTTCTTAATCTAAAAAATAAGAAGAAAAACAATACAACTCCGAAGAACAACAGATAACAGTTATTCACTCTCCCCAAACCCCCCACCCTCACCTAAAAAATAATAAAAATTTTAATAATATAATAATAATAATAATAAATAAATAAATAAATAATACAACAATAAACTAAGTGCATGGATTTTAACTGGTAATGACATTGTACAACATAGAAAGACGACAAATAAACCCATTTTTTTATATTAACTCTTAATTAATATCTATAGCCCTATTTATAGTAACGTGTTAAAAGTATAACACCAGGAGTTAAAATAAATAATAATATTTGTATTATTGTTGAAAATTATTATAATTAGTAGTAGTAGAGTAACATTCCTTGAAGGCCTGCATGGCGAGTGTCAATAATAATCATAGTTTACCTAAACACATTATCATTATTTTATTATTTTATTTTATTGTTTTCTTTTATATTTTTCATTATTATTGTTATTATTATTATTATTATTATTATTATTATTATTATTATTATTATTATTATTATTGTTACTGTATTGTTCTTATTATTACTATTTGTATTATTACTATTATTATCATTATTATATTATTCGATACTATTTATATTTGTTATTAGCATTATTATGATCATTTTATTATGAAGAGGTGATGGTGTTTAATTTCTTAGATATAAAAATGCTACATATTTCCTCCTTTTTAATAATTATTTCTCTGGTACCTGCATTTCACAAATCTACCTGTGTACGCATTACTTTTAAAATTCTTACGAATCTGTTATGAAAGTTTACTAGCGTCCAAGCATAATAGCAGGTATTAGTCCATAAATACCGAAGAATTAAAACCAGGAATAAAAATACAACAGACTTCTGAAAATTATTAGTTGATTAAGCTTACGCTATTGAAATATAAATATCATGGTAATAATAATACATATATTGGAATTAAAGGATTAAAATCTCAGCGATTAAAAGGATTTCGGTAGGAATGCATTATTTAAATTATACCCTGCACATGGATTAACTTTTAGTATACATTACTGGTACAGTGACTTCAAAAGTGTAATATCTGTCATGAACTATTATGAAGGTATTTATCTTCATGCATATACTTAAAATTCTTGCGTGGAAGTACCTCGTTTATTGCTCTACATTTAATCCCAACGACCGGGTACTATTTGATGTGTGCGCATTGATATCATTCAACCTCGCACTTAATGATAGGCGATAACAATCGAAAAGCACACACGCAAAGTATAAAAGATTTAAGAAAGAAGTTTTGGTGTGCATTACGTTACGAAGGTTTGTTAAGGAAACCAGTAGCTCCGTCTGAACCAATTCGCCTAATAACATTTCGACATCAGCTTATACATGTAAGTAAATTTTGTATACTTGGAATATAATTTTACTAAATAGCAAATAAAAAATAATATTGAAGAGTGGGATTTATATAGTTACTAAAGTCCATAGTTACCAAAGCACTTTTCAATTCTTAGATAGTATTTCGTTTTTCGGAAAAATATATTGCCCATGTTATTACTAATTTACATGTATATACTTGGTTGTTTTTTTTTAATTATTATTATTTAGTCCTATTATTTATTTATTTGTTTATTGCAAATTTATATAGATGTGTAATTAGTTGTCTATTATGATTAGCCTATATACAGCGAGTACGGTACTATCATTTTTAACTTTGTAAAGCGCATTTTCCATACGAGACAAAATACAATTCCTCTCCCAAAGCCTCGTAATGACATTGAAGTAGAACAGGACTATCTTGTGTGTTGCTTTAACTTGCATATTTTTATAAAGGATTGCCATATATGTCAGTAATTATTATTTATTTATTTATTTTTTATTCATTTATTTGTTTATTGCAAATATAGATGTATAATTAGTTGTCTATTATGATTAGCCTATATACAGCGAGTACGGTACTATCATTTTTAACTTTGTAAAGCGCATTTTCCATACGAGTCAAAATACAATTCCTCTTCCAAACTTAAGTAGACTAGGACTCTCTTGTGTGTTGCTTTAACTTGCACATTTTATAAGGGATTCCCATATATGTCAGTAATTTAATATTGCTATTACTAATCTTCTGCCCATTTGCTAGAATTTGTGGGAAAACGATAGCCATCATTATAGCATTGGTTGAAAATTTTATCGAATTTGGTCTGAATATAAATTTAGGCACCTACTTTCTAAGATTCAGCTATTATATTTTTGAAGGATTGTATCAACTATGAAGTCCAGACGTTCCGTATATTATTTTACTGGTATTTATATCTATTCATTATTTTGTGTTACCAATTTACTACCAGCAGAAGACATGTTCTCGGTGCATTAATTGACAATAATATATTTTTACAATACCCATACGTTTATATCAATTTAACATGATGAGCAAAACCGTTAAAATTATTATTTTTTAAATATATAAGTACATGCCGAAATGTCATTAGATTGTTTTTTCGAAAAGGACTGTCATCTAGATAAGTTCGATGTAAAAATATTAGTTGTCTACCCTCATTGATAACGGTATGTGTCATTGTACTATAGGCCTAAAACTGTCTCCTTCATTACTTCCGTCATTGATAGTAAACATATAGATAAACTATCTACGGATAAAGCAGGTTCAAGGGCTTCCCGGGGTTTCCCCAAAACATTTCAAGAATAAAGTTCAAAATTCTGAGAGATAACAAACTGTTAATCTATCGATCGATTTCTCGTATAATATCGGAATATTTTTTTTTTGCATTGAACAATAGGAATTAACTATATCTTAAATGATATACCAAAAGAAGGCAAATATTATAAGCACAGTAGGTCTACTACACTCATTTTATTACTAGAAAATGTAATATATTGTGCAGATATTCCAGGCCTCTCCTAGCTTGCTGCAAATGATAACTGCACATTTGATTGTAGATTACTGTCCCTTTTTATTTTATTTTAATTACTTATTATTATCATTTTTAAAGAGGATGACCTATTCAGTTAATGCAGGAACTGATTATTAAGGCCCTCTATAAAACATACAATAAAACATGTAAAATATTCAAAAGACAAATAAAAGTTAAAAGGCCTTTAGTTACTCTTTTTAGGTTTAATTACAAATAACTGTCAAGGGTAAATGAGATGGCGCTTTTAGAACATTTGTGTGAGAGCGTTATATAAATGTTCTAAATATTATTAATAATTTCTGTCTAACATTTAAAATTTAAAAATAAACTGTTCAGAGAGCATACTGCATGTCATATGAGTGCACCCTGGGCTAATAATTTCTCAACTCTTATTGTAAAACAAAATAGGCGATTACACACTAGTAATGCCTATCGACCGATAGATTTAGATTTGTATTATCTCTAAAATTGTTGGACTTTATCTTCCCGAATGGTGTGGGGAAACACCAGGGAAACGCTTCTCTAACGATAAACAGTTATTAACAGAATTTAAATTCTTTTTAAGAAGTAGGGGAATTTTACAATGGGCATGACAATCCATTATCTATGTTCCTATGTCCGTTTTCAGAATTATTGCCCCTTGGTATTTATACCCTGTTTATTTGTAGTTAGACGGGGTAATTATTTGTCTTATCAGTTTACCGTTGCAAATGGTATACGTCAAGGTGGGCTGACGTCATCGTTATTGTATGATTTATACATTGATAATTTATGCTGTTATATACATAAATACATGAAATTTTGATTGATAATACTGAAGGGGCTAAAGCTTTTTATGAATGTGTATATAATTGTCTCACATGACAAAATAATTAATTTCATTAGTGTATCATTATATATTCATATATTTATAATATGTATATGTAATGATTTGAAAAATATAATTTAATAATATCTTCATTTTTATAATAAATTATAAGATTATATTGTAATATAGTTTTATTTTATAAGGACATTTATTATTACTATTATTATTATTATTATTATTATATTATATTATTATTATTATTATTATTTAATCATTGCATCTTATATTGTTATTGTTTGTTTTTGTATTGTTAAACAAAATAGGCGATATCACACTAGTAATGCCTATCGACCGATACATTTTGATTTTTATTATCTCTAAATTTTTTAAGCTTTATCCTCTGGCATGGTGTGGGCAAACCCCAGTGGAAGCTCTTCTCTAATGATAAACAATTAGCAGAGTTTCTGACAAATGTATATATTTGTTTTTAAGCAAGTAGGGGAATTTTACAATGTGCATGACAATCCATTATCTATGTTCCTATGTCCGTTTTCAGATTTATTTCCCCTTGGTATTTATACCCTGTTTATTTGTAGTTAGACGGGGTAATTATTTGTCTTATCAGTTTACCGTTGCAAATGGTATACGTCAAGGTGGGGTGACGTCATCGTTATTGTATGATTTATACATTGATAATTTATGCTGTTATATACATAAATACATGAAATTTTGATTGATAATACTGAAGGAACTTAAGCTTTTTATGCATGTGCATATAATTGTCTCACATGACAAAATAATTAATTTCATTAGTGTATCATTATATATTCATATATTTCTAATATGTACCGTATATGTAATGATTTAAAAATATAATTTTATAATATCTTCATTTTCAGAATAAATTATATGATTATATTATAATGTATCTTTATTTTATAAGGCCATATTATTATTATTATTGTTATTATCATTATTATTATTATTATTACTATTATTATTATTATTATTATTATTATTATTATTATTATTATTTAATCATTGCATCTTTTATTGCTATTGTTTGTTCTATATTGATAAAGAATGAATATAGAAAGAATTGAATATTGATTGATATGTTAATTGATTGAAAGTTTGTATTCATTGCCTGACCTCAGACCCAAGCATAATGTTTGTGTCTTCAATTTTACATTTTTACAGGTACCATAACTCCAATGTATACAGACCATATCTTTATATTACTTTTCTTTTTATTTATTTTCTTTAATTCAAAGATGGTAGTCATTAATATCAAGAGCTAGCAGAAACATGCGCGATTAGACCGAATAGGAGATAGTCAAACTAACCCTCCCCATCTGCAACTGACAAAATGAATCTAGGCTCTTGGGGTCATGTGAACCTACCAATTCAATGCCCTCGAATTTGATAAAATTTATACTGTGCAATAATAACATTAACCCCTTCACGGTTTTATTCACTGTATGCTAATGGAGGTTAAAATTCGAAATTTAAAATGATATTTAATTAACAGTTTATTATTTTTTTTTTTTAAATATGAAGACTACATTAAATTCAATTGCGAATTGAATAACTGATGTTGCATATTTAAGCACATTATTATCATCATCATCATCATCATCATCATCATCATCATCATTATTGCTACTACTATTATGATTATTATTATTATAACTAATATAATAGTTATTATTATTAAGTTATTAATATTATTATTATTAAGTTATTATTATTATTATTATTATTATCATGATTATCATTATTAATACTATAATTAATAATAATGTCATTATTATTCCTATTATAGTAATAATTATTTTTATTATTTTATCATTATTATTATTACTCTCTTGGCCTATGAAGTTTTTAAGAATATACTTAATAATTTACACCAACCAATAATTAATACACCAGCGTAAACATAATCAGTAAATTATTGCGCAAACATTAAGATAGAAAAAAATAGGCCTAATGAAATTGAATTGAATTGAAAAAAATATATATCGTTCAATGATTTCGTCAACTCCACTCGTCCCTAAGCCTTATTCTGTGACTTCAGTTTAATTTTCAGTATATAAACCATAGCTCGACCCTGTGTGGGAAGTAAATATCTACTGAACAAAAAGCATAATTTTATACGCATTAATGTTATTAATTTATTTTTCGCAGGTACCGTTAATATATACAATCCTCATTATGTTATATTATTTTCCAACATTTTTTTCCTCATTTAAAGAGGGTAGTCATTAATTTCACGAGAATGTCGCCCCATATAAGCCTAGATTCATTTTTTTTTCTACTGTATTGATAAATCCTAACGTTTACCTAGTTTTCCGCGTTAATATCAACTTTTTTTTGAAGATTAAATTAACTAATATTTGCTGTAATTGTATTATGTTTACAATGTAGGTATAATGAACGTTTACTGTCCAGACCGTAGCAATATACCAAATTTCTTTGCTAGAATAGTGCCGACTAACCCTCCTCCCCCTCCAATTGTCAAAATGAATCTACGTTATATGTAGACCTACCAATTTTATTCCTTCGATTTTGTAAATTTTAACCAAATAATGATACTTGTATGGGAGTGCCAATCTAATGTGCTTACTCTAGGTAGAGGTCTGGGATTGCGCCAGAGCATAGGCGGGCGAACGAGTTGACCCTCGAACCGTGCAAAGCTCGTCACTGCACCTTTTTCTCTTTCCTTTTTATACTTTTTTAATATTCTTTAATTGACGTTAAGCGCATAGAGGTAGTCCATGCAATACGCGCTTATAAGCCTACGTGGAAATTTATATATTATTGTTATTAAAATTGTTATTTATATTTTACCATTCTAACAATCCTGCCTCATAGACGTACTATTGTGTTTATGCTGCTTTGCATTGTATTGCATATGCTGAAATGCACAATCATTGATATTTTACTATATGATAACCAGGGGGACTTGAGGTAGGCCAATGTGTTTCCGGTTAAATTGAACTTGTATCAAATTAAGAAACGTGGATAAGCATTATGAGAGTGCATTTTCCGGGTATCTAACGTGATATATTATAAGATGCTCGTAAATCAGCCTCAGCCATGATAAGGGTAAGGTAGGTGTTTGATCTAATGACTAGGCAAATTTATTTAATGAAACCTATCTGATACACCAATGTCAAAATGATTTATTGATCATTATTTTTTTTTCAGATTCAACATATTCACGAACCTACAAACCCAGTGATGGCCGGGCGCGAATATCCCCCAATCGCTATTATTGGCATAGGTAGGCCTTAATAACGTTTTTTTTTAACAAAGTGAAATATCTGCACTATTCTCACTCTTACCAGTACTAATGTAGAAATTCATTCAACAGTATTATACATACTTCGAATGTGCACAAAGTATTTATGGTTAATAACATGATATTTCCCATTCAACACAACCTCAACCTCACTGTATTCTCCATTTCAACGTAAGTGTTCTTGTAACTTATATATATATTCACATTTTCTTGCATAATGTATTCTAGGTTGCAGACTGCCAGGTGGTGTGACGTCGACTGATGATTTTTGGACGGTTCTCCGGGACGGTAAAGACTGCATCGGTGAGGTACCAGCTGAGCGTTGGTCCCTGGACTCATTTCATGATTATGATCAAACCAAACAAGGCAAGATGGTATCTAGAAGAAGCGGTTTCATAGATGGTATTGACCAGTTCGACAATACATTTTTCAAGATCTCACCGAAGGAGGCTTCATCGATGGACCCTCAACAGAGAATGTTACTAGAGGTTACACATGAAGCTTTTGAAGATGCTGGGATTGTACCACAGGAGTTAGAGTCATCTTGCGGAGTTTTTGTTGGTATTGGTTTAATGGATTATGGTATAATGGGATCAAGTATATCTACTATTAACGCATATACCCTCACTGGCTCAGCACATAGTGTCGCAGCTAACAGGCTTTCTTATGCATTTAATCTTAAGGGTCCTAGCTACGCAGTAGACACAGCATGCGCTTCATCAATGACAGCTATGCATTTAGCATGTTCTGCAATGTGGAACCAAGAATGTGACATGGCAGTACTTGCTGGAGCCAATGCTTTGATTATCCCAGAAACAACAATAGGATTTAGCTCACTTGGCGTTCTGTCACCAGATGGTAAATGCTGTCCATTCTCTGATTCGGCAAAGGGTTACGTCAGAGGTGAAGGTTGGGGAACGATGATTCTGAAACCCCTTGATCAAGCAATAAAAGACAACGATCATATTTATGCTCAAATCGTCGGTACATACATAGCAGCCAATGGTCACAGTAACAGCCTTACAATGCCATCTAAGCCCGCACAACAACATACAATGGAAGAAACCTACAGACGATTTGGGGTCAACATGGCTGATGTCGATTACCTCGAAGCCCATGGAACCGGTACACCAGTAGGAGATCCAATCGAGGCAGAAGCTATAGGAAATGCGTTTGGGCCTCATAGAAATAAGCCTCTTAAAATCGGATCTGTTAAGAGCAACTTTGGTCATAGTGAATGCGCAGCTGGTGCAGTATCCTCCATCAAAGCGGCACTTATGCTTCACAAAGGCTATTTAGTTCCAACCATTAACTACACAGCACCAAATGTTAATATACATCTTGATGAATGGAAACTTCACGTCCAAACCTCTCTCCAACCATTTCCTAAAGATAAAGATATCATTGTTGGTATAAACAGCTTCGGTTTTGCAGGAGCTTTAGCCCATGCCATCATGCAGTCACCACCACCACAAAAGCAGAAGGCAATACAGCAACCGGCAGGTTGGGGCTTCAACAGCAATTTAGGTGAAGGTGAATCCATCATCATACCCTTATCTGCCAAGTCTTCAGCTGCGTTGACAGATACAGCATTACTTTGGAAGAGTTTTGAGAGTAACGAAGATGCACTAAGGGTTGTCGGCTGGCAGGCTACCAAACGAGCGCATCACGAATGTCGTCTTGCAATAACAGCAAATTCTCATACCGAGTTTCGAAATAGATTAGAACGTTTTATTCAAGATGGCAGTGGAGAAGGATTATCAACCGGAACCACCTACAGATCATCGAGCAAAATTTGTTTTGTATTCCCGGGACAAGGGCAGCAATGGGCAAACATGGGAAAGAAGCTGTACGCTACGGAGCCTGTGTTCCGAGACACTGTTGAGAAATGCGATGAGGTATTCCGCCAAGTGAGTGGGAGTTCACTTGTACATAAATGTAACCTGTTCAATGGAAATTCTAACTCGGAGTTCATCCTCGACGATGAGAGTATCAATGATATGGAAATCAGTCAGCCAGCAATTTTATTCCTACAAATCGCCCTCTACGAACTGTGGCGACACTGGGGTGTGTCACCAGATGTAGTAGTAGGACACAGTCTTGGGGAAGTAGCAGCATCGTATGCTTGTGGTGGATTAACACTTGCAGAAGCGGTTAAGGTTATATATCACCGAAGCAAGAACCAATCACTTCTGAAAGGTGCCGGTAGCATGGTTGCTGTCCGATTATCATTGGAAGAAGCCGAAGATATTTGCAGAAATAATGACAACTTGTATGTTGCAGCGGAGAACGCACCCGGATCATTGACCCTTGCCGGGTCTGAAGACAGTATTATGAGGATTGTAAATAATAGTGAAATAAAAGCAAAACAACTCCGTGTTCAGTGTGCGTTCCATACACCTCTTATGGACCCGATGGAAAAACGATTCCGAAAGTCGATGGAAGGTGCTGTAATGACTCCTGCTGGTTCACGATCAATTCCATTCTATTCGACATTGACTGGAACACAGTACGATGGTGACTTTAAGACAGAGTACTGGTGGAAGAACATTAGGAACCAAGTCAAATTTCAACCTTCTATTGAAAATATATTAAAAGAAATTGAAGCCGATGTATTTATAGAATGTGGTGCCTCTGCAACTCTTTTGTCCTCCGTTAAGCAAATAGCAAAGGCGGAAAAACAAAATGACATCATCACTGTTTCCTCTGGCCAAAGGCAACAGGACGACAGAAACTCTATTTTACATTCTCTGGGGCAGCTGTATACAAATGGAGTAGATATCAACTGGCAGAATGTCACCAGAGATGCTGGACAATGGGTAGATATCCCCAAATATCCTTGGCAACATTCTAGTCTTTGGGTGGAAGATCCGGATCATCGAAAAAACAGACTTGGCCAGGACGACCGTACATTCAAAGGTCAGAACGGTATCTTGAACTTTAGAGTATTTCCTTTCCTTGCTGACCACGTTGTTCAAGACCGAGTTGTTTTTCCAGCTGCTGGCTACGTAGAGTACGCACTACAGTCATTTTTCCGTGATGATGAATCACCTGTCGCTGCTAATTTCAGCTTTAAACGTGTGTGCACATGGCCTGACGATAGTGACAGTATGGAACAAGCAAATCTGAATCTCACGTGTACCAGGGACGGAAATAACGTTACTGTTATGTCTGCTGAGCAGCTTTACAGCACATGCACATTATTATCGGCAAACAGTAATAATTCTAATCATTTAGATATTGAAGAGATTCTAAAAAGATGTACAGATCAAGAAGACAAGCAGACGTACTACGAAAAGTTTAGCTCACTTGGCCTTCAATACGGCCCATCGTTTCAAGTGGTAAATAAAGTGATGAATGGTGATGGAGAATCTCTTGGATATCTATGCCCAGCTGACGATAACAAACAGCGCATACAGGCGACACACTTGGATGGATCATTCCAACTACTATTACACAGTGTCGGCCACACTACAACTCTTTATATCCCAGTTGCTATTAAACACCTCGAAATGTACACACCAAAGATTCCACCATTCGAGGAAATTCTGGTCCATGCGAAAGTAACTGAATGCGACAGTTATACATTGCTTGGTGACTTAACTATGGCAACAAAAGATGGCAAGATATTGGCAGTTATGTCTGGTGTCAAATGTCAAAACCTTAGTGGAATCAAATCGAATGTAGATATAGATAAGTGTTTGTATCAGACACATTGGCAACCATCTACATCATGTTTGGGTAGCACCTCAGTCTTACAAGAGGTTTTTCGGAGCATGAAGAACAGTGACCGCTACTCAGATGATTTAGAGAGTATCAGAAAAGCTGAAGAGCGAGTTCCTATCATAAAGGGTATATGTGCATCATATGTGCGTCATGGTCTTGATAATGGTAACAAAGACACTTTTAATTTAAATCCACGTTATCTCAAGTGCTTAGAAAGGATTGCAGCAGACAAATCAGTTTTGGATATAAAATATGAAGACATACACTCAAATCTAGACAAGCTCAAAGAATACGTACCGGAGCTTGAGCAGGAAATTGAAATGATAAGAAGTATTGGAGATAACTTTCCTAAGACTTTAGTGGACCCTGGAAGCGCAGTTAAGATGCTATTTCAACCTGAATTTCTCCCAAAGTATTTCATTGAATCACTTACCACGAGACTTTATTACAAGTCAGCTGCAGACATCATTTCAAAGATAATTAATGATGCTTGTGAACATAAACAGGTTGTCCGTGTGTTGGAATTGGGGGGTCGTATGGGAGGTCTCGCAAGACACATATTAGAGCCGTTAAAACAACTAGGCGAACAACATCGAGTTGAGTATATATTTACAGATCTTAGTGCCACATTTTTTATGCATGCCCAAGGTACACTCGAGGAGTATCCATTTGTGAAATACAAACAGTTAGACATAGAAGCTGAAGTATCCAGCCAAGGATTTACTCCTGGTTCGATAGATTTAGTCGTATGCTTAGATGGAATGCACCCAGTGGTAGATATCAATGCAACGCTTCAAAATGTCAAAGAACTGTTAGTTGACGATGGTCTATTTTTAATGTATGAGGGAACAAATGCTAATTACATTATTGAGTTAGTGTTCGGAGCCCTTGATCTTTGTTGGGTTTACGATGACTTTAGAAAAGATTGCTGCTGGCTGACAAGAGAAGGATATGCCCAGGCACTAAGAAACAGCGGTTTTACTGATGTAGTATCCGAGTCAACACCAGGAGAGTTCTTCCATAGTGTGTTTCTTGGCCGAAGTTCATTAACATCTAGCGAATCTAAAGAGAACACAAAGGACAGAAACTACATGCTTGTCGTAGAAAATGAACAGTGTCCATTGGTTAAAGACATCAAGAAGTGTCTCAATTGTGATGTAATAGTCAAAACATATGCTGATGTGAACTCAGGAAATTTTATTGAAGAATCTCAAGGTTTGCCATACGAACTAATTTACTTGTGGGGAGATAGTGATCATTTATGTCATGCACTGTTGAAAGTACTACAGAAGATTGACAGTGACCCTGACAAATTTACAAAACTATGGGTAGTGACATGTGGATCAAACATGACATATTCCAATATTGAATGCAGCCCAGCCATTGGTCTTGTAAGAGCAGTGACAAATCAATGCAGTACACCTGTATTTTCAGTAGATATTGACCCTAGTAGTCCAGTAGCAACACAAGCCAAACTACTTGTACCCTACATAACAGCACCATTTTCCTTTGAGAGGGAAGTTTCAATACGGGGTGGGTTGTATTTCTATCCTAGACTCGCTTCTTACAACCCATTAACTAAAATGGCAATTAGTGGCCAGTCTTATTGGCAATTAACCCAAACTTCAAACACAGGCCTCTCTTCAATCAGCGATCTCGGTATTTCGTACAGAAGTGAAATGGTTCCATCCCCTGGTAAAGTGCTTGTTAAAGTGAAGAGCGCAGCTTTGAATTTCAAAGATGTTATGATGGCACTTGGCATGCTTGATGATTTGTTAACATCAGATGAAAAACCGTTCGGTCTAGAGTTGAGTGGTGTAGTTGAGACCGTTGGGGAAGGTGTAACTACGGTCAGTGTTGGTGATGAAGTCATTGGAATTGGAGAACATTGTTTTGCCTCACATAGTATTTGCGATGCTCAGCTTATCGTTAAGAAACCATCAAATCTATCATGGGATGAAAGCGCAGGAGTTTCAATCGTTTTTGCTACATCATATCACAGTCTTGTTGAACGTGCCAATCTACAGAAGGGGGAAACAGTCTTGATACACTCTGCTTGTGGTGGTGTAGGATTGAGTGCCATTCAGGTTGCCAGAATGGTTGGTGCAAACATCATTTGCACTGCCGGAACAGAGAAAAAACGCAAATTCTTAAAAGAGACTCTTGGCATTACACAAGTAACTGATTCACGTTCAGATGCTTTCTACGCTGACGTCATGAGCTGGACAGACGGCAAAGGTGTAGACGTTGTGCTAAATTCGTTGTATGGTGAACTTCTTACCAAAGGAGTAAAAACTCTTGCTCCCGGTGGCAGGTTCTGCGAGATTGGTAAAAGAGATATTCTTCAGAGCTCAAATCTTAATATGCAATTATTCCTAGAAAATAAATCTTTTCTATCCTGTCAAATAGACTTTATGGTCGATCTGCAGAAAGACAAAGCACAGAAGCTACTACAGAAAGTATCATCTTTATTCGAAAAGAGAATACTTAAGCATGTTCCGTATGCTGTCCATCCAATCACTGAGTACAATGATGTGTTCCTAACAACTGCAAAGGGATCCCATATCGGAAAAGTAATATTCTCAATTCCAGATAACTTTCAGCCTCCGAAGATTAATCAGTCATCAATGCTTTTCAAACAAAATGCCACTTACGTGATTACGGGTGCTTTCGGTGGAATTGGTCTCGCAATGTCACGCTGGATTGCTACTAAAGGCGCGAAACATGTAGTAATGGTTTCCAGACGGGGATGTCGAAGCTCGGCTGGTCGACGAGCAATGGAGTTTATGAAACGCAAAGGTGTCACGATTTATGAATTTGCCACGGACCTTGGTGAGAAGAAAAATATTCAACATATGCTGGAACAATTAAAGACCAGGGGAGCACCACCACTCAAGGGATTGTTTCACTTGGCAGGGTACATTGCTGCAGAATCCCTTCAAACTCTCACTCCTGAAGAAACAGACAAGATCCTCTACTCAAAAGCAATAAGTGCTCAGTACTTCCACTCTCTTACTAAAGATCAAGATCTCGACGTGTTCTTCTTGTTATCGTCAGTGACATCTGTATGGGGACATTCCTCACAACCGATGTATGTCGCGGCGAATAACTATCTGGATTCACTTGCTGAGCAAAGGAAACGCAAGGGACTAGCATCTCTAAGTGTCCAGCTTGCACCCATCCGAGGAGCTGGATTCTTGGAAGACAAATCGGATATTACCAACACAATAGCTATTAAAGGAAACATCACACTTCACGTTGAAGAGTTCCTGACCTCGATGTCAACTTTACTACAATCATCAAATGTACCAGCCGTTGTATGCCTTGCAAATCAGGTATGAAGATCCTTATTATTAGTAACATTTTACATGAAATTAACATCCCGACCAACATCAATAAGTAAACAACATAAATAATAAAAACAAGAAATGATCTATACCCAAGTAACTAAAAACAATACATATCACATAGATTCAATAACTTGGAAAAACACGAGATCTTGATTTAAGATCAATTAGAAAATTATTAAAATCAAATCAAATATCCTTTATTTATCATGTAAAAAATATATAATAATTTATATAATTCCATATATATATTTCATCTTAAATTGTAAAGTAAATGTTTGCATATTACTAACTTTCTAATCCTAATTGCGAATAGCAATTACCAATAATTGTAAAATTTAAACAATAAATTATCTTTTCATTACAGAACTGGACTGATACTCAGAAGTTTACATATAACGACAGCTGCAAATACAGACACTTTGTGGAAGGTGAGAATGTAGGAAAGACAGATTGCTCCTTGAGCCTTGAAGATGTAGAGAAGACTGTAAAAGAAAAGCTAGGAAAATTGCTGTTCGTAGAACCTGAGAGTATTGACGTTAACCAACCAATGATCAACTATGGAGTCGACTCTATGATGGCAGTAGAAATGGTCACATGGGCCAGTAAAGAGCTGAATGTGGTTGTCTCTCAGCTTGATATTCTAGGAGGTATCACTACAAAGGTGTTGCTGCAGAAGGCGCTACAAAATGATGTTGTGTTACCTTTGAAAGAAGCTTAGATACTATTTCAGCTAAGTTGATATTATTGAGAACTGTTTAGAAGTGATGAACTCTGATGAAATTACATTTGCATTGTTAAATAGGCATATACATATTTATCTAAAATTATAATAATTATATACGTTATATATCAGTACGAAATATATATTCCTATAAATAAATATTATGTATGTACATAGGCCTATATATACACGATGGCTACATCTCGGTTGAAAAATTTTGAATGTAAACGTAAAGTTAAGCAGCCAGTCTTAGTCTTTTTTCATCATTATATATATACAGGGTCGGATTTAGGTGGGGCCGGCCCGGCCCCGGCCCCCCCTTTTGGGAGGTGAAAAAAAGAAAAAAAGAAGGAAAAAGAAAAAAATGATAGCCCACAACGCCTCAAATGTTATTTTCGGCGTCTAGAACACAAAAATTTCGCGGGGGCATGCCCCCGGACCCCCTAGGGCGTTGTTGTCTCGATCGGCCCAAATTTCGGCCCCCCCNATTATATAAATGCTGACCAGGGGTCACCCGGCTGCCTAATAATAACAGATATCAGAAACTAAACCTAGACTAGGCCATATATTATAGTATTGATTTTAATGGGAATTTTGATAGTGGTGTTAGTACAGTCTTGTGATAGTATTAATGTGTCGTAAATATATAATATATATAATTTGGCCTTAGTAATATTCCGACTCAATTAAATATTGTTATAAATATTATGTGGTCTATTGATACGAAATGTATATTAGTAGAAAAGTGGCAAGGTTTAATGATAATAATAAAATACATAATTATCTATAATTAAATGGTTTGTTTCATTCAATTTGTCTTTGTCCATTAAAACATGATCTTTATCTGTACGTCTAGCTAAACATCAGCTTTTATATTATTATAATATTGTACCTACAGTTTTAACTGTTGTCATGATACCATCGGACCTGTCCAGCGTAGGAGGCATTAGTTACCCATTTGCGAAAAATGTGAATACAATCTACGAAGTATATATGCACCATTGAAAATACACTTTTGTTGTTTTTGTTAACATCATTCTGACAATTTTTTATGTTTTCCGTTAGGCAGAAACACTGTTGTACCGTGCAAAGGATATTATGTCACTAATACAATGGCCTATTCCACTGGTCGTTCTTCGTTAAAAATCGCCCACCTGCGCAGTGGTAAAATCCGACTTACCAAGACGACTAATAGAAAACTAAATACTCGACAAAACAAAATGGCTGCATAGTTACACGCTGCGTAATCAAGGCTGCTTCCGATTGTGGCAGTATGGGTTTTTCGTAAAAAAAAATGTTTTCATCCCGTTTTTTAACTCTGTTAACCTACAATTATTTTTTGACTTCATCGTTGGTAATATTGTAATTTTTATTTTTTGAAATTTAAATCTAAATTATATTAACGTAAATGTTGTTGCTAAACTGACCAATCCAATCTGTATAGACAATGCGAAGTGACCTAAGTAGAAGCTCGCCGCCTTACCGTTGACTAGCACTTCTTCAGAATGTGTAGTGGTGGATCCAAAGATGTACGAAAAGGTGGGGGCGATCAACAGACAAAACTACCATAGGGGGTCAGGGGACATGTATTTATAAATCACAATACATGTATAATAGAAATCAACTCTTACTTTAAGGGATGATTTGCCCAGAATTTCCCCCAAAGCTGCTTTTACTGGCTTACTGTACTAGCCTCAACTGCATGCGCAAGGCAGTGAGTTCCAATTATTAATAGTTTTTTATCGAAAAGGTCTACCTGATCCAACTCCTGAAACTTTGCTTTTTAATCTTAAACTTATCCTCTAGTTCTTGTCCCCTTATCCATTAAAAAAAGTGATATCAGGAAGATTATTCTTCTTTTTTTTTTTTTAATATCTGTATGACTATAGCCCTTTCTCTTCTCAATAAGCTTAAGTTGGCAATGTGAAGACTTCAGCCTATATCCTGATCAAATTTAAATGCCGTATCTCTGGGATTAGTCATGTTACCCGTTTTGAATGTTCTTTAAGAGATCTTTATGTTTTTTTTACATCGGATACCATACTGTATTGCAGTATTCCAAAGTAGGTCTAATACTGGTTTTGTAAAGTTGTAGAACTCCCTGTTGACGCAGCGTTTGAATGACCATTTGATCATTCCCAACTTAATATTTGCTCTTCGTGCAACATCAACTGAATGATAACGATCACATTAACGATACAAAGCTAAATAGCAATTGTTCATATAGAATATAAAAGAAAAAAAAAACAAGTTTTCATACTAACACGATTTGATAACGAATTATCATGTATACGATAAAAATATAACTTCAAAAATCAAATAAAATGACGTCATAATCATGGGAAGAAGATAATATCGTAGTAGTAAAAACGATTTTCACATGATTATGACGTCATTTTATTTGATTTGTGAAATTATTTTTTATTGTATACACGATAATTCGTTATCGATTCGTGCTTATGTGAAAACTTCTTTTATTTATGAACAATTGCTTTTTAGCTTTTTATCGTTGATCGTTATCGTCATATAAACAGGCCTTAAGAGGAAAAAGTATAGTAGAACGCCAAGCAAGTAAGTAATATGGAAACCCATTGGTGCCAAAATATATATTTTCAATAGTTTTTACTGATTAAGGCAAAATTAGGGACTGGAACCAAGTCTACCTGGTCGCAACCACCCCCAACTTTCTTGAACGATCCGCTCATGAGGAATTTATGTTTAATCGAAGGTGCTTCCAGAATGTTCGGTCAATCCGTAGGCTCCGGCACACAAATGGCGATGAACATATGCACTACTACCACTGATCTCTACATACCTTAAAACCTCGAATTGAAGCCCAATGGACTTAATCTCGAGAAAAAACCCATCTCGAATTGAAGCCCACCTCTTTAATTTGCAAAACTAGCGTCGAAAAGAAGTCCATCTCGAAAAGAAACTCATTGACTGCACATTAATTGGAAAAGAAAAGAAAAAAAAATTAAAAACACGCTTGGTTTATACAGTTTTAGGTGATTTAATACCGGTTAATATACTCTATGGGTAGCTATTATAGTTGAGATCAGTGACTGACTGACACTCAACTAAGCATGCAAATGACGATTTTACGTAATGATCGATACGCATATGAACACACGTAATGCTAAAGATACACTTCAATATATCGGCCTATTCTAATTAAGAAAAGTATTGTATGTCGAATTAAAAGTTGACTTCACTGTTGATATAATATTAACGCAGCTAGGCCTACAGAAAAACATATTGTTTTTCCCCCTTTTAGGTTGAGTATAATTTCTCTCGTAATAAACTGATATACGTAGGCCCTAACCCTTGTCCCAGGTACCACACGTCATTGACTCCTCACGCTGCGTCCTACTCATGGTGTAGATGTTGGCCTACAGCGGGAAAAGGGTTATAATGCAAGATGAACAAACCGTCGTCTATTGTCTATGAACATATTTTCAAACATCTACATCGTTGAAAATTAGTACATTCTCATTATAGGTCTACAACTGGGGTAGGCTGCATACCAGACAAGAGTGAAAGCTGGGGAAAATTCCCTCGGTTTTAGTTATGTGTATTTTAAATAATTACGAGATATATATTAGGAGACACTAAAAAAGTCGACGTACACTTCTTACAACTTACAATTTACTTTGTGTTCCAATGTTAAATAATCCGCCAATAAAACGGTCTACTATATCAACTCATCATGCTTTTATAGATATTGTTGGTGACTGCTCTGAGCATGAGTAACCCACTTGCGTTCTGTTTCCACTGACCACAACAAAGTGATGCAATAACGTAGGCCTACTTACAAGGCAATCGACTTAAGATTGTTTCATTTTTTAACCGCACAATTGCTCTACAAATAGCTTATAATAATAGGAATGGCCTATAATAATAGTAGTAATAATAATAATAATAATAATAATAATAATAATTTAATAATAATACTAATTTAATATTATTAACATTATTATTATTATTATTATTATTATTAATAATAAGGCTATGGTAATAATAATAATAATAATAATAATAATAATAATAATAATAATAATAATAATAATAATAATAATAATAGTAATAATAATATAAATATAATATTTTCTTTCTTAATTAAAACGTTAATTTAACTACCATACCGGTACTATTTTTTGGAGACTGTTCTCATAATTGACACATATTTATTTAAAAGTAATCTTTTCGTCATTTTTGACTCTTTACTGACGAGTGTACACCTTGACTGTATTTATTTGATCATGATATTTTTATGTGTATGAAGAACACTCACTTCGACCTTGCAATGGTATTATTGTGTATGTAAGTATTTATTATTACTATTATTGTTTTTCCTTTTAGGCTTTTCAATTTATATATTTTTTCTTCAATTTTGTAAAGAGTTGTTGTTTTGGATGAAACGTTAGTTATTGTGTGTGCCGCTGATACAGAAGTGTTATCCAATAAATCTATCTCAGGGGTAAGCTGCATTCCAGACGATGGTGAAGTTGTGGAAAATTCCCGGCTTTAGTTATTTGCATTTGTACGGTAAGTCACGTAGGCCAACGTATTACAAGGCACTTCTTAAAAATTCAGCGTGCAATTACTTTTCTGTCCCCGTAGCTAGAACCTGCAAGCTACTTTGTATTGATCTTTTAATTCCCATGTTAAAAAATTCGCCAATAAAACGGTCTACTATATCAACTCGGTGTTTTTTATAGATCCTGTTGGTGACTACTCTCAGTAACCTACTTGTGTACTGATACCACTGACAACAAAAGAGTGATACATTAACGTAAGTCTACTTACAAGTGTTAAAAGGCAATCGACTTGCGATTGTTTCATTTTTAAACCACACAATTGCTCTATTATAGCCTATAATAATTGCTCTATAATAATAATGATGATGGTAATAAAATAATAATAACAATAATAATAATAATAATAATAATAATAATAATAATAATAATAATAACAATAATAATAATAATAATAATAATAATAATAATAATAATAATAATAATAATAATAATAATAATAATAATAATAATAATAATAATAATAATAATAACATCACTTTCAATCTTAAAATAAGGAGAAATGATGTTGGAATAATAAAGGGGAAAAATCATTTAAAAAAAAATATATATATATATATATATATATATAGGCCTATATATAAATGAGAAACATGAACAATAGCATGATACTGGACTGGAGGAATCCATGTTACTGGTGATAGTGATGTAGAGTAGGGAGTTCTAATGCTGAATATTGTTAATGCGTCTGACGGTTATTTTGTCTTGAACCAAGTGTAACTAGCTTGAAACGCTAAGAAAACGCAAATTGTGTTAACATAAAAGTTTAATTCCCAGCTTATTAATAACTTTAAAAATATTTAGAATTACATCATTTTTTTACTAGAGTTTGCAAGTACTTTACGTTGATCTTTTAATTCCCATGTTAAACAATCCGCCAATAAAACGGTCTACTATATCAACTCGGTGTTTTTTTATAGATCCTGTTGGTGACTACTCTCAGTAACCTACTTGTGTACTGATACCACTGACAACAAAAGAGTGATACATTAACGTAAGTCTACTTACAAGTGTTAAAAGGCAATCGACTTGCGATTGTTTCATTTTTATACCACACAATTGCTCTATTATAGCCTATAATAATTGCTCTATAATAATAATGATGATGGTAATAAAATAATAATAACAATAATAATAATAATAATAATAATAATAATAATAATAATAATATCACTTTCAATCTTAAAATAAGGAGAAATGATGTTGGAATAATAAAGGGGAAAAATCATTTAAAAAAAAATATATATATATATATATATATATATAGGCCTATATATAAATGAGAAACATGAACAATAGCATGATACTGGACTGGAGGAATCCATGTTACTGGTGATAGTGATGTAGAGTAGGGAGTTCTAATGCTGAATATTGTTAATGCGTCTGACGGTTATTTTGTCTTGAACCAAGTGTAACTAGCATGAAACGCTTAGAAAACGCAAATTGTGTTAACATAACAGTTTAATTCCCAGCTTATTAATAACTTTAAAAATATTTAAAATTACGTCATTTTTTTACTAGAGTTTGCAAGTACTTTACGTTGATCTTTTAATCCCATGTTGAATAATCTGCCAATATAAAGTCTATTATATTATTTCATTGCTTATATAGATCCTGTTAGTGGCTGCTGTGGGCAATCCACTTGAGGTATTGATACTCTCTAAGGCACGTAGGCCTACTTACAGGTGTTAAAAATAAATCAACTTACGATTGTTTATTTTTAACCACAAAATTGCTTAATAATAAATATAAGATGGAGTTGAATAACTTGGTGGTTAAGATACTTGCCTTCAAATCCCAGGGTCCTGGGTTCAATTCTTGCCAGTGTTGCATGATTGTTCTCACGACCAAAACAACTCCACTCCTTAAGTATCGCATTGAGATTTAGTTTGTGTAAAGCATCGTGTGTTTATGGTGTCTTGTAAAAGGGATTGTCACCCAATCATAGGACAGTCATAATATATACGCTATTGTCAATCCTTGGCGCATAAGTGTATGCGCCTTAATAAATAAATAAATAAATAATAATAATAATAATAATAATAATAATAATAATAATAATATAATAGTAGTAGTAGTAGTAGTAGTAGTAGTAGTAGTAGTAGTAGTAGTAGTAGTAGTAGTAGTAGTAGTAGTAGTAGTAGTAGTAGTAGTAGTAGTAGTAGTAGTAGTAGTAGTAGTATAGTAATTGTAATAATAATAATAATAATAATAATAATTATGATAATTTTAATTACCAGCTTATTAATAATTTTAAAATATATGTAGAATTAAGTCATTTTTTGATAGAACCTATAATCTACTTATTTAGATCTCGTATGTTAAATAATCCAGCAACTAGATTTATACTGTACTATGTACTCCTTGTTTTTACAAATCCTGTTGGAGCCTCCTATCAACACGCACTTGTGTTCTCTTTACCATTGACCATAACACAGCGACGTATTGATATTCTCACGTGCTTACAGGTGTTAAAAAGAAATTGACTTACAATTGTTTCCATTTTTAAACAACACAATTATTATAACAAACATAGCCTAAAATATTAAAATTAATACTAATAATAATAATAATAATAATTATTATTATTATTATTATTATTATTATTATTATTATTATTATTCCCATTACCACTGTTGATGGGAATAATAATAATGATGATAATGATAATAATAATAATAATAATACTGTAATAATAATGATAATAATAATAATAATGATAATAATAATGATAATACTAGTGATAATACTAATACTAATAATAATAATAATATAATAATAATAATAATAATAATAATAATAATAATAATAATAAAAATAATAATAATAATAATAATAATAATAATAATAATAATAATAATATTAATAAGAATAAGAATAATAATAATAATAATAATACAACCCCAAGAGAAAAGGGGGGGTTCAGGTTCTTCAGGGGAAAATGTTGACTTATAAATGGTGGGAAATGAGATTTCCCGACTTCTGAAGTATCTTTTAGCAACTAACTTGAGGTCTTCAACATTCAAGGTTTTTCCCTCTTGAAAACGGTCAGGTAATTTTTTCCTATTGTTATTACAGTAAATATGCCTTATGTGTGTGTGTGGGTGTATACATACATTTTTTTTAAAAATGAGTAGTTGCATACGAATTTTCCATATATCGATGAATCCCAAAAAGAAAGGGGGATCCGGGGGTTCTCCCCCAGGAAAATTTTGATTCCTAGAAGGCGGGAAATGAGCTTTCCCGACTTCTGGGGTGTCTTTTAATTACTTTTAATTTCTTCAAAATTCAAGATTTGCCTCTTTGAAAATTATTACTGTATAATGAATCAATGAACCCAAAGAGAAAAGCGAGGTTCAGGTTCCTTCCCGGGAAAATGTTGATTTCTAAATGGTGGAATAAGCGCCCGGGCGCTTAGAATATTTTTGCACTTTCTGAGGGTCGCTTATTCAAACAGGGCGCTTATTTAAACGGGGCGCTTATGAAAACAGAGTGGAAATTCAGGGGGCGCTTATGGAAATAGATGAAATTGAGGGGTTCTTATGGAAAATTATTAAATTCAAGAGGCACTTTTTGAATGAAAAAGATTATATAAAGACATTACGAATGGTGGTTAGAAAAGAAAATCGTCCAGAAAACATGGCTCATGACAATAAATGCGTGAATATTTACATAACAGCAAAATAGCAAATGCAATTTAGTGGTGATGGGTAGTGGTTAGCTTGTTGGCCATTGGCCGAAAAAAAAAAGAGTAAAGTTGGAAATATACTGTCTGTCCAGGGATCGGAGCTCTCATCTGTCCAAGATAAATATCATTTAATACCATATTGTTACCGAAGAAGAATAGGGGCGCTTATTCAAACGTTAGTTAGGAGGGGCGGTTATTCGAGAAGGGCGCTTATTCAAACGGGGCGCTTATTCGCGCTAGTACAGTATGTGTGTATACATACACAAAAACTGAATAGTTGCATACGCATTTTTTTCCATAAATCGATAAATCTCAAAATGAAAAGGGGGTCTCCCCAGGAAAATGTTGATTCCTAGAAGGCAAATGAGCTTTCCCAACTTCTGAGGTGTCTTTTAATTACTTTTCAGTTCTTCAAAATTCAAGGTTTCCCATCTTGAAAACGGTCAGGTAATTTTTTCCCATTGTTATTACAGTAAATAGGGCTTATGTGTGTATACATACATACTTTTTTTGAAAAAATTAGTAGTTGCATACAAATTTTCTATGAATCAATAAATTCCAAAAAGAAAGGGGGGTTCGGGGTCCCCCCCCCCTCAGGAAAATTTTGAATTAAAGTCATTAAAAGATACTTCAGAAGTCGGGAAAGCTATTTCCCACCATTTAGAAATCAACATTTTCCCGAGAAGAACTCGAACCTCTCTTTCTTTGGGTTCGTTGATTCATTATAATAATTTTCAAGAGGGGAAAACCTTGAATTTTGAAGAACTTAAAAGTAATTAAATTCTTCAAAATTCAAGGTTTTCCACTGTTGAAAACGGTCAGATATTTTTTCCCATTGTTATTACAGTAAATAGGCCTTATGTGTGTATACATACATAAAAAAGATTGAGTAAGTTGCATACGAATTTTTTTCCATGAATCGATAAATCCCAAAAAGAAAGGGTGGGGGGTCCAGCGGTTCTTCCCCGGGAAAATGTTGATTCCTAAAAGGCGAGAAATGAGCTTACCCGACTTCTGAGGTGACTTTTAATGACTTTCAAATTCTTCAAAATTCAAGGTTCCCTCCCACCCTCTTGAAAATGATTCAATTAATCAATGAACTCCAAAGATAAAGGGGGACCGGATTCCCCCGGGAAAAATTCGATTTCTAGATGGCGAGAAATGAGCTTTCCTGACTTCCGAAATGTCTTTTAATGACTTTTAAAGTTCTTCAAAATTCAAGGTTTTCCCTTATTGAAAAAGGTCAGGTAAATTTTTCTCATTTTTTACTTTGTGTGTATACATACATAAACAAATGAGTAGTTGCATGCGTATTCTTTTTTCCATGAATCGATAAATCCCAAAAATAAAGGGTGGTCCGGGGGTTCTCCCCTGGGAAAATTTTGATTCCTAGATGGCGGGAAATGAGCTTTCCCGACATTTGAAGTGTGTTTTAATGACTTTTATGTTCTTCACAATTCTAATTTTCTAATTGTAACAACAAAAAAAAAAAGCTCACGGGTCCTGAAAAGGGAGGGGTCAGGATCCATGACCCCCTCCCCCAGATCAGCCAATGTTAATTGCGAGAAAATGTAACTCGGTCGGATACTGGATAAACATTCTCTTTCCCACCCTTCTTCTTCTTCCCTCTTTCTTTTCTTGCATTTCCGATCATACAAAAATCTAGACATATATTTTTTTGCCAAAAAGTGGGGGGGGGGGGGAAGACATGAAAGTAACTTGATTACGCAATACCTTGAGATAAACGTGCCTAAACGGCCTCATAGCTCAGTTGGTAGAGTTGGAAGGTCTTGGGTAACACAGATACGTTAAGTTACTATTAAGGGTAGGCCTAGTGACTCTAGAATAATGGCTTTTCTTTGTCGCAGTTTTTATTTTGTCTGACGTAAATATAAGTAGGCCTTACAACGCCCACTCAAAACCTCCTAGACACTTAAAAATAACGTTCCGGGAAGTATATTCGCTGTACTAAAATTGGCTTAATACTAATACACTTTTTTTATAATAAACATGGCCGGAGGAAGCGGGGGCGCCCCCCCACCCCACTTTTTGGCAAAAAATATATATAATGTCTGGAGATTTTTGTATGATCGGAAATGCAAGAAAAGAAGGAGGGAAGGAGGAGGAGAAGGATGGGAAAGAGAATGTTTATCCAGTACCCGACCGAGTTACATTTTCTCGCAATTCACATTTGCGGATATGGGGGAGGGGGTCTGGGTCCTGACCCCTCCCTTGGGCAACAAAAAAAAAGGGAAAATTAAATGAATTCTAGACCTACCTTTTCAGGACCCGTGAGCTGATTTTTTTTTTTACATTAAGAAAATTAGAATTTTGAACATAAAAGTCATTAAAACACACTTCAAATGTCGGGAAAGCCCATTTCCCGCCATCTAGGAATCAAAATTTTTAAGGGGGAGAGCCCCTGGACCACCCTTTCTTTTTGGGATTTATGGATTCATGGCAAAAAGAATATGCATGCAACTACAAATTTGTTTATGTATGAATACACACATAAAATAAAAAATGAGAAACATTTACCTGACTGTTTTCAAGAGGGGAAAACCTTGAATTTTGAAGAACTTAAAATACATTAAATTAAGAAATTAAGAGTCATTAAAAGACACCTAAGAAGTCGGGAAAGATCATTTCCCGCCACCTAGGAATCAAAATTTTCCCGGGGAAGAACCACAGGACCCCCCCCCCAATTTCTTTTTGGGATTTATCGATTCATGGAAAAAAATACGTATACAACTTGCTCAAATTTTTTTTTATGTTTGTATACACACATAAGGCCTATTTACTGTAACAACAAAAAATTATTACCTTTAATTTTAAAGAACTTAAAGTCAGGAAAGCTCATTGCCCACCACTTAGAAATCAACATTTTCCCGGGAAGAACTCCAACCTCCCTTTCTTTGGGTTCATTAATTCATTATAATAATTTTCAAGAGGGGAAAACCTTAAATTTTGAAGAAATTAAAAGACACCTCAGAAGT